TTTCGCGGCCAATCGAATCACCGGCGGGGTCGGCCGGCCCCGTCGCGGTAAACTTGTAAAACAATAAAAGCTTCCGGTGACCCAGCGGACCGGCACATCGAGTTAGCCAACTCGAACTTTTCACCGGAAACCGCGGCTCGTCCGAAGTGTGTAAAGCTAAAGGACGGCCAATCGCGGGCTCCTCCACTTCTTGTCAGCTCATCGAGAAAACCAGGATGCGCGCGTCACGTCCGAAGGAAGCCTGCGAATACTTGAAAATTCAGAGAGGTTTGAAACTGTTCCCTGGTTACAGAGATTAGATTACCGTGGACAGCAAATTTCTACGCTTTGAAATCGAAGCCGCTCGCTTCCTTTGATTTCTTTTGCCCGGTTTCCTTTTCCTCGGTTGCTCAGACTTTCGCGCGACGCAGAAACGTAAGGAGTTGAACACTTAACTATTCTTGTGGATAGGATAGTTGTGAAGATTATAGAAAATTTTTAGGCTGAGGAAACTGCGTTCTAAGTTTCGAAATTGAAGCATTAAAGAATGAAATTTTGAATCGAGCAAAGGAATAATTGTAATCGACTATGGTTATAAGTAACTATAGCCTGTATTCTATATTTGTATTGTTTCGTGTAGATATACTAGTTCACAGAAATTTTCCTTGGAACTTCCGAGGAAATATCAATTTCATTTGACAAGCTTTTACTAGATTTCTAGTAATACTTCTTAACGACAATTCGAATTGAAACTATTTCCATCGTTTGCGACCTATAAACGACTATCTATAAAAATAATGACTTTCTATAAGTACAAAACGTTTCTTTGTCGAGCAATAAAGAATCACGCCAAAAATCCCGCTCTTTACACAAATCACCAGCAAAGATCCAACAAAAATTCAACAAAATCCTCCATTCCCATTGAACCCGCAATAAACAAATACAACCTCTATTTTCACAAATCACCGAAAGACGATTCCACATGAAATTACCTTACGAACAAAATTTTGTTCAATCTCGTCTTGAATCATTGTCCACGGTCAGCCCGTTCGTCGAAACCACGCGATACGATAAATCCACCCCGGCGAGCGGTATGTGCGCGAGCCACGTGTCCTTTTTTCCTTTTCTTTTTTATTTCGCCGTGTATCATCGGATCGAAATAAAACGGGAGGCATAATGAAAGTAACGCCGTCGCTGGACAGCAAAAGAAATAAACCGGAGAGCCGGGACACGAGGTGGAAGGGCGGTAGGCGTTCTCACGATTATACGAAGCAACCCTTTGCTGCGTGAACACGCCGCCGGCCGGCTCGTCGCGAGACGGGGGCATGCGTGCAGGCCCGCTATATCCATTACGCTTATTACAACCCCGACCGCCGCCACTATCCTTTAACCATCCGGCTCCCTCGTACCGCCACCCACCCTTTTACGTGGATGAACATCGATCGACACCCGACCTGGAACAGTCCGGCCGTCAGGTAACCAAATTGCCCCCGTTCGAAGGGGGCGAGGAGGATCCTCTCTCTTTAGGAACTGGCTGACAGCCGCTCCTCGTTTTGTCCTCGATTCTGCCCACCGCGGAATGTTTCTAGACCGATTCCTCTTTCCTCCAACGAACGATCGTGTCTCGATTCCGCGCTTCTTTGGGACGTTCCTTTGATGCTTTTGTTGCCGGCGGTGCTTGCGTCGCGCTCCAAGGACTCCTTTCGCAATGTTTGCAGTTGAACTGTTGCCTTTCTGTTTTTTAACCCCTTGGCGATTATGAGGATCGGTGGCGGAGGTTTGCGACTCGATTTACTGTAATGTAGCTTTGTGCGGCTATGTTCTTATCGTAACTCAGGAGGAAAATAATTAATACTAAAGCTACCAGACGAGGCAAAATGAGATATTCATGATTTCTTCATTTTGTAATTATTAAGCAGGCGACAGATGTTTCTCTGGGAAATTATTGAAGTAATTGATTTAGCTATACGCAAACTGAATTATAAATCAATTAAAGTCTCTTGAAGTTCCTATAGAGGATTTTCAAAAAGGCAATTTAACTACTCGGTAGGTTTAGCGTTAACGAAAGTCAACGTTCCTCGTGTATAGCTCGAAGCGACAGACAGTTTTGCTACTTCAGTATTTTAGCTTGAAAGTTCATATGGACTTACAATAAATGAAACATTTCTTCATGTTTTTTGCAAGTTATTCATAGTAAAATTTATTCGGTTTAGACGCAAAGAAAATTGTATAGGAAGGGGTTAGTATTAGATCCTGAATTCAATAATGTATTATACCTTTTGAAAATGTCTAAAAACAATCTCGGAATATTACGTGAGGTATCTCAGATAAAGCGCATAATAAAAACTGAAAAGCGAGTAAAAACAGAAGCACGCCACGAGGCGAATCATCAGGCAAAACTAAGAATTATCAGCCTGTACCCCAGTAAAAACTCGAACACTCACTAACGCGTCGAACGCCGCATGATTTCATAGAGCAAAATACTCGAAATGGAAAAAATATAATATTAAATCATTTGATCGAATTGCATTGTTATTATTGCAAGTTCATCCAGGTAAATGTCACCACATTAGCTAGCATTATTTATAATATAGAAATGTTTTCCAATAATCATCGTTTAATTGATTGAACTATAGTAATTCGATTTGATTAGTCGCCGGTGATCCCCATGGCACTCGATGTGACAAAACCCAAAAGAACGGTACCATCGAAAACCTGCCGCATGCTTCGAACACTGAATTTCGACGTTTCGCCGAACGGCACCAGCGTGGATCCTCGCAAACAAAAGCAGGAACGCGCCAGCGCGGTGTCGGTGTGCACGTGGCCGTCTATGGGCGCGCGCGAAACGCGACTCTACAATTCACGGGGTAAAAGCAACCGCGCGTGATATATTGTACGGTCCCGCTAAGTGGAAGCCGACGGATTCTCCTCCCGGCCGAGAGACAGAGGCGTCGAAGGAAGCGCGGCCGGTAAGGAGGAAAAAAGGGGAGGGTTTCACTCGGACGACCAAGCAGCTGTATTAAGTGCGCCTATAGATTACGAGCCCCGGGAAAAAGTGGTGTGTCCCTGGCGCGCTAAAACGCCCCGGAAAAAAGATTACCCTATGCACTCCATACGTCATCCGCGCGCGGCCCGTTCGAACGCACACGCGTTGAACCCTGTGTCTGTTCGCCGCGTTTCCGAGTGCCGACACCGATTTTTCCTCTTTTTCGTTTTTTCCCGCCCGGTCGTCTGTACGGAAACGTACGTGGGAGTGGAAGACGCCGGCGCCTTCGATTGACGAGATGCCTGGCGTCCATCTTCCATTTTCTTCGTTCCGATTGGTGTTCGGTTTTTGTAGAGTTTGTCGGGGTTGTTCTCTTTTTTTGATGGGGTACGAGACGTCTGGGTGGTTTTACCATCATTTTAAATTACCGGTAAGCTAGGATAGAATGTTTATTGTTATGGATAATAAGTTTATTATTCAAGAAACGATAGATATTTTGTTGAGCGTTTCGATATTGTAAAATAAAATCGCGGTTGTTTCTTCTCGTTTTGATTAGTTCGTCGTAAGTTTATAGAAGTTCTTCTTTTTCTAATGATGCTAGAGTTGTTTAGGTAATTTTATGTTGGAAAAGACCCATATTTTAAAATGTTAGATCTACTTAATATTGTGCTGTAACAAAAATAACATGACGTCCGGCTTCCCTTTTCTGTTTAGTTTTATCGCAAACTTGTAGCCTTCCTCTTCACCGCTGACGCTAGAATGATCTACGTAATTTCATATTTCAAGAAACATACCAATAAAGCGAAAACGAAGTAGAATATCAAGTCCTCTATCAATGCTCGCGCCACGGTAAAAGTGAAATGCAAATGTCTCTAAACGCCCACGAAAAAGTGTTATTTTATTATATTCCTGTTCTGTGAATTCGCATGTATTATGCACGCGTAAGATTTGCAGTATGGTAATTACTAGACAATGACGTAAATGAAGAATAACGGTATCGTCGTAAACAAGAAAATGTCAGCTCACCATAGATCACGGAAACAATTGTGGGAGGGCGTCGCCAAAGTACATGAATGAGATTTGCATTTTAAATATACTTTCCCGGCGCCGCTAGGAACACGCCTACGAGCGTATTCGATCGCGAGCAGCGTTCGTTTCTCGCCGTTTCGTTTTATCTGCTCGTCGAGCTTGGTTTCATCCCGCTTAATGGCAAAACAAGACGACTTCCGTGGGCTTTCCTAGACAGCTGGCGCTCTCGCCGAGTGACAGCACGACATTACGCTTTGACAGCCCGATCGGGACCGCACGATATGTCACGCGGAAAATCGAATATTCACGTGTGTATTTTAATATCGCTACATGTGCACCGTGTAATGCACGGCTCCCCTCTTATTATGACCCATTTAGACGCCACGTATAAATTGGTCGCGCCTCTATAGAGTTACGTGGAGGTTTCGCGTGCTCGATGATTTTATTAAACGTTTAAGGGTTACGTATCAATAGAAATGATTGATTTTAGAACCTGGCGTTTCACGTGCAATACCATTTCAAACTTGACGCTTATTCGAGAATTCTGTTCTTGTATGGAATTATCATTCATTGGGAATTATTGTTAGATTTAATGTTATGTAGTTTGAATAGCCTGGTTTGAAATGGAGGGATGAAATGTTTAGGTGGTACGGATTTATGAGAGTTTGTTCAATTTCTACGTGAACAAGGGAAGAAAATACTTCTTTGAAGTAGACGAATGATATTGATGTAAGTTCGAATGTACCGACTTTACAGAACATGGCAGTTCTTTGAATTGAAGAGTGTAGTCTTTTCTGGGGTGAAAAGTAACTTTCGATTTAACCGAATTTCCTTACCATTAGAATATTCGAAACTGCAATATTTAAATTGCAACAAAAATCGAGGAGAAGAGAGTGGAGCAACTGGGCAGGCGAGTGAAAATGGACTGGGGTGAGATTCAAAGATACCAATCAGTAGAAAAGAAATTACCTTTAATGTACCTTATAGAATGTACAATTTCCCTGGAACATACGATAACACATTTACGTTAAGTGTCCAAACGTTCACGTGCCCTTTATATGGAAGAAGAAGGGAGCGCTAGAATAATATTACAAGATCGTTTCATCAAAATTTATTAATATCAAGTTTCGACTCATTACTACTTCCTGCGAAACGTATAAAGCATACGGCCGATTTTCATTTCCACGATCGACCGGCGTGATAACAGAGATTCCTAGGGGTGAACAAGGTGGAAATACGATCGTGGAAAAGTAATCGCAAAAGTGCTGAACACGTGAGATGCGAATGTACTTACACCCGTTTACGCTGTGTTTCATATTCCGCGAAAAACCTGATTAAGGCTTTTCCCCGCGTCGAAGCGTCGAAGCATGATTTTACAGAGATTGAAATGCTAACGAGAGAATTGCGCGTAACAATCGACCGCTGAGGTTCATCTAAAAAATAAATCGATCGTGATTCCTTCCGATTCGAATATTTTACGTTTCACTCTTAACCGCTAGTGTTCGGCAATGATAAAATAACTCTTTCTCGTATATATTATTGCGACGCGCGGCGACTATGCTAGCGACGTGTCGAGGGAAATAAATAATTGATGCGCAGCAGAAGACAGTGAACGGTTGCTTTTCCAATTTTTCAAAAAATATGATAGTTTAACTGTGATTTATCGTCGCATGTTCGGAAATGAACATATACGTGTTACCTTCAATTTTGAAGGACAAACATTGTTGTTATAATAAATGATTAATGTAAAACCTCGGATTTGATACTTCTTTAATTTGCAAGTGAAAGGAAAACTGGTGATCGGAGTAAATTAGAAACAATGATATAATGTTCCAATTAGTGTTTAATTTTTAATCGAAGCTCTGCAGATTTTCACTACCTTTCTACCACGAATACAATATTTATTCACCCTCGATCGCAGTGACCAAAAAGTGGTCCTAACACTAACTTTCCAAGCTTTACAATTTACTGATTGATTATTTATTGTTCCTACGTCGAATCGATTGTAAAATTTTTGTCGTTTTCGAGCGAACACGTTAGGTGAGGTTCTGTAATCGAATTATATTTTTGATCGATATTATCAATCAAATCGTATAATATCATTCAGGTAAACTTAATCGTTTATCGAATTCAAAATTCATCGAAACATATAATTGGAAGAGATGAAACTTTAATGTTGTATGCTTCTTGCATTTGATTAATTCGATTAATCAAAAGTAAAGAAATTTCATTATCAAGTTTATTTATCCTCGAGTGAGCCGCGGGCGAATGACAGAAATTTTACAAGGAATATTATATTGTTAAAATTAGTCTACGCGATCCTCAGTTCGAATTTTTTTCGATACGCCGTTGAATATTTACTAAATATAGTTATGTATACATATATGTGTATAATACTTGAATATTAATTGCATTGGCAGGACATTGCACGAGTGCGCTCGCTGCAGCCACGAAAACCTGTACCTTATAAGTACTTGCATTCGTTCATTCTTTCGATTTTCAATAAATAGTAATACACGGTGATACAACTGAACACGCAGCTCCTGTGAATAAATGTCCATTTGTGTAACGTTTCCGTTCTAGAATTCGATAAATATTTAGTATCGATGCATAAAGCACCACAATTGATATTAAACGGCGCGTTTACATTTAGCGATCCATTAAATTGTATTGCTCACGTTAATATTGCAATTTGAAGTCAAAATTATATCGTACATAATAATTCTGGATGACAATCTTTCTCTATAATAATTTCATGAATTATCGTAATAAGTAATGACATTCAAGTATTCCCAATTACGTGACACAGCCCAAAACACCTCAAAACGAAAAATTGAACGTTATATCTTAATTATCACAGTATTAAGAATTTTCATCAGAAATACTGTAAAGACTGTGGCGCTTTACGCGTCGTTGATTCAAATTAAAATAAACTCTCAATTTCCTACAAAATAAACACTTATTATTCCCTCCGACGGAAATGTTTATAAGTAATACACATACAAGGATAAACAAAAAAGAAGTTGCCGTTAAACAACCAAATGGCAGAATAGATATCTACCGTCTTCGATCGAGAAAATAGTGCTCAACTTCTAAATCAGTGTTTCGAATCAATCAATTCTAATATCATCAATTCTATACGCATCATCGATTAAGATATTTAAACAAAAATATATTCACCGAGAAAACTGGGGAAGCTCGAAAAGCTTCGAGATTCCCAGAAAATAAAATAAAAAAGGTAAAGGTGTACTGATATTAACCGTTTCATCCCTGACTATGAATTTTCTGGGAAAAAAATCTTACGGGTGCATTAATCGACAGAAACACATTTACCGACAATTGATTAGCACTTAAGCTGTCAGCCGTAAGCGAAGATCCCCGTGTGGTACCATTTTCCTTTGTCCAAGCGTTTTCTAGCTTTCCGGTAATCTCAAACGCTCGTGGTACCTGTGTATACCATTCGGGACGAAAGGGTTAAAATGTAATCGGTCGTTAAATTCGATTGAATTTCTCGATCGATGTCAATTCGCCATGCTCCTGGCATTTTTTCGTTCGCCACACTTTACATTCGCAGAAGAAAAAAAGGGAATAGAGATTGGCATACCGTTTCGGCACGGTTGACGTGGTTCCATACACGCGCAGCAAATATCATTCTAATCTAATGTCAGATCCGCACATGTAGTATTGACGTCAATTTAAAGTACTGCCGTAGACGCGAATGCGGTTAACGCTAAAACTACCGATCAGTTAAGTTGACTTTTCGAAATTCCTTTATAGAAACTCTAGGAGTGCATCTATTGAGGCTTTAATTGATTTACAATACGGTTCTCGTATTGCTAAATCAATTTTTTAATGATTTTCCAGAGAAACATATAGAGAAGGACGTTGGTTCAATTTGACTAGCGAAGTAATACTCCGTTTACCTCGAAAAAATTTTCGCCGAGTGGCTGACTTGTTCTACCTACACACACATACACATATGTGGCTGGATTGTTATTATTCAAACGCGGTGCGCACCATGCGTAACAGTCGTACAAGTTTCTGTTGTTACGTTATAATCATTTATGTCCTGGACGTACTTTGAAGTGCCGTTTTCATTATGGCAGTGCCACGAAACAGATGTACTTAGATTTTTCTTTGAAACTTCATTTAATTGAATTTAAAGTATCGCATTTTATGCGCCAAGTGTTCGAAGAAGACTGTGAAGAAAATTTAAATTTAACATCTGTGTACTTTATCTTGAATAAGGGTACCGTTGAAAAATAAGAAAGTATAATTGCGTATTAAACGTTAAGACGGAGTGATAAGGGTAGATTGGTGCAGATAGTACGTACTAAGTTATCTAGAAAGTGTTTAATAATTATGAATAAAAAGCATTGTTGTGCATATATTCATTATGTTTTTAATGGGCCTGATAGGTCAGATCAATTAAAGCTTTCAACTAATGGTTTTAGAAAGATAGACATGATTGTGGTTTTGATAAAAACACGTGAGAGGGATGATGGAAATTTAGAAATTTAAGTGTATTAAGCAATAGATGTGAATTTGAAATTTTCTATTATTGTGAGTTTGAAAAATTTTGATATCTTCTTGTTTTACAATAAATTACTATTCTGTTGTTTTAACCTTGTTTCAATCTCTAAGGATAAGCAATATATTAATAAAACAGTATAGAACAGTTAAAACTTCTGTTTATGTTTCTTACGTCTATAGAAATGTTTAAAGAAAAAGATTTGTCGAATAAGACACGTTTAAGTGAACAGATAATTACTACAGGGTTTTGATTTTAAAAATGAAGAAAAAAAGCATAAAAATCATACGTATTATTAACACTGAAAATTATTTGAAAGTCTGACACAGTTAATTTGTAGGTTAATTATACACTTTCTACTTAGATTAGAAAGTATTGAGATTATCACGAGCCCTGAATCTTTTCTTATGAAAATCTTACATGAACATCTCCCTACGTTAAGAACAGATGATTATCCAAAAAAAAGCAGAAACTATACTGAAGTTTTTATTACTCAAATGAATGATCATCGGTGAAAGAGAAAATCACTGCACTTTCATTATTAGACTATGATTATAAAGCACTTCTTAGATATTTTACTATAAAAACCGCAATAAAGCAAGTGTTAAAATAATCTTCCATCAAATTTCACATTATCTTTAAATCAGTTCACATCTAACGAACCTTCTCACCAACAACTTAATGTCTACCAGACATCAGTCATCAGCAATCTAATACTAAAAATTGAAAATTACAGAAACATTCGAAATCCATCCACTATCCACAATATCTCCCAACATCTTTACGTAAACGGAGTTTTAACATTTCCAATTTTTAATTTCATCTTACCAGAATCAAAGCTAAAAACATTGAAGACAGTGGCTGAGATTTGACAGCTAATGTCAAAGCCAATGTGCAGATCCGACTTAAAACAATGCTGTCCAACAGAAGCTCCAGAGTTCAAAGATTGTCTTCTTACTCCAGTATTTGAATAAACAAAATACGATATCCACGTAACGATGAAAAATTGTAAGGCGTTCCTGTTCGTGGACAGCATGGTTTTAAATACTTCGCAACTCGCTCATTGCACGACAGCTACAAACGTTTGAAGGCCCGTCCTAAAGACACGTTCTTTGCATAAATTATTGGCACGCGTGAACACGAGAGAAACGGGTACGCTAAGAAATGTATAGATAATAGAAGAACGATTGAAATCGTTAACGCAAGACAGCGTTGTTGTTGCCTTAACAAACAGCATTTGCGAATAGCAGCTGGAAAGTTTATTTACGCTCGCTAAAAAACATGGTGTTTCCAATGTCCGCGAAAATTGTATTTTACGTGCGTCCATCACAAGATTGAAAGGGAACCGAAGAGTTTTTGTACAGAAACAAATGAATCCGTCGGTAGCAGTTACTCGAACAAAAAAGTTAATTACTTGCACGAGTTACTTACGCATCGTTTCACTACACTTCACGAATCACTCAACATTTACGATCCTAAATTATATGAAAACTGTGTTACCCCATATTTTTTCCATTTTAATTTATACAAAATATATTAGTAAGGTCTAAATACGAACTTCTACAAGGTTACGAGTCTCTCGATGGATTTTCTTTTTCTGTTATTTAAAGGCTGAAGACAGTCATCATCACAGGATTATCAATACATCTCAGATAAAGCGGTATGCCTGTTGCATACGAATATCTGTTTTCTATGTTGTATCGTGATAACCTTTCTAATTACTTTGCTAATTTTTTCATGGAACTAATATAGTTTTCTAAAATACATTAATTTCTTAATACGCGTTACATGACTTATTTCATTACTCTGTGTGACGTGGAGAAATTTAGATAGCATCGAGACATTTAGGATACAATATTTTATTAATTTCTAATTTATGTCTAGTCATATTTTATCTTGTATATTGAAAATTAAATGGTATTCACTACAATTTTCTACAATTCTATAGTATTAAAATAAAGGTCGGAAAGTTTCAATATTCATTTGAGCCATTTACGTTTCGAAAATCTAAAAAATATGTTTAGACTGCAGTATCTTTTTATAATTGTTAACTACAAACTGTTAGAAATGATTGCCTCAAAACTAATTCGATTGAATAATAAATACGTGAAGCTCGAGTATAATTAATTTCGTGTAGAAAATAGTTAATATATTATGTACAAAAAGATAATATATTATTCTCCAATTATTAAATGGTTAAATTAGGGTATAGGTTACTTACTCGCAATTATATCATTATCGATAGATCAATTGTATTGATTGTATCGTTTAAAAAGGTGCCATTCTTGAATGACTAGAAAAGCAAAATGGCCTGAAAAGAATCGCCCAGATTTATGGGAACTGAAGGCCAATCTGCAAAAGCAGAGAAAGTAATTACACAGATAAATATAATATCGTATTCATTATATCGATAGAAAAATATTTTGAAGTCCTTATAGCTCTTAAAATACCGTGTAATTTATTAAATCTGTTGCTTAAGTAACAGATTTATCAGTGGCATCGTTGAAATATCGATAAAGTGAATATATATATGTATATTATAGAAGTATGACATACAAAATAACTGAAACAATTTATAATTTCAAATATAAAATTGTTATATATTAATATGACTTGATAAATATAAGAGAATCACTAAATAAAATAATAATAATCATAACAAGATTATTAATTCCAATTATAACGATTAATCTGGATATATTGAACATAAACTTAAAAAATGGAAGAAACAGTTACATATAATGTACAACTACACAAGAAACTGAAATAACAAGATAAAAAAGAAAATAGAGTAGACAAATAAAGACGAAGTGAAGAGCCAGAATATAAAAAGGAAAAGATGATAATTCATGGAGATGATTATGGAAGGACGTAAGGCACGTTTGAAGGCAGAGAAAGACGACGAAGGGTTGACAATATGTTTGTTAAAAGGAATGGAATTATAATAATAGAAAGCTGTACAGAGTAAAGTATAGGAATTGTAATTATGATAAGTAGATCAAGCTTATCCTGAGTATACAGAATGATTACCACGAAGTAAAGCATTTGAATACATTATATCCCGTAACCAGCTGATCAAGAAAGAATGAAATTTTACATGAAAAAGATAAAGTTGATTCGTTTGAGATCTCAATTTCAAGAAAATGAAGTTTGAACATTTATCGAATTGTGAGTGGAGATTATAAAACAAACGAACTGTAGAAGAAGACAAGAATTTAACAGAATATAATAAAAAAAGAAAATCAACAGTTGACACAACAATAATTCAGTATGAACGTACAAAATTTGAAATGAATAGAACAGTACAAGGCAACATGAAAATCGGAGCACAAATTAAGACTTACACCAATAATCTGTAGGACCAACTGATTAATTGGACTCGATGATGTCAATGTCTCAATTAGTTACTACTTATCATGTTCCTAGATGACACTTATACAAAGAAAACAAGAAAAGAACAAATCCCGTTATTTCATTCAACCAACACAACAGCCCAAGAAAACATTTTACATTTGTTTTTTTATATTAGAATTTTGCTTGTCATGACAAAACGCTTGTTCATTAAAGTCCTACGAATACAAGGATAAAAGAACTCATTCGAATATTGCATTCGAAGTGTTCACAGGTTTGAATTTCTACTCCGAAAGACCATGAGAATGACAATTTCGTTTTTATCATTTACCAGTGCTCAATTGTTGTTACGCACGGAATTTCCTATGCTATCGATATCTGAACGATGCTAGCGATCATTTACATCAGTAATATCCTCGAGTCTTGCGACGAGCGCTCATTCAAGCATTTCCAGCGCTTATCTCTTGCTGCAAAAAAACCCTTCGATTGACAAATTCTCAACGCGGACACAACAAGACAGAAGTCCCTTCGTACCGAGTGTTCTCCACCAATTTCGTTTTCGTGTCGATCGTGTGCACGTTAGATCCAAGGACACACGCTCGATATAAATAATGCGCCGTCAAGTGCCAGCCCCAAGGCGCGCAGCTTTTCAATTATCGATGGACGTACCTAATAACAATTTTCCCCTTCATACGTTCGTCGACTCGACGAACAGAATGTAAGTAATGGTCCTGTGGTTCAACGACGTCCACGAAATTACGTGCAATGAAGAAACTCGAAGAAACTTAACCCGGACCTAACCCAGCTACGGCTGGCACGCTTACGGACTAGGCGAGTCCTTCAGCAAACGCACCAAAGGATTCAGCTTACCGTCGTCCGAATTCTTGTACTCCTCGAGAAGCTGTAAAATAGACAGTTGTTCCTCTTTATTTCTGAAATTAACATTAAACGCGCCAGTACTCTATATTCGTGATTATTCATTGAAACGAGCGTGGTTGGTTTAGTGTTACCGTGTTCCTTGTATTGGTGAAGTATTGGGAATGTCTGAAAATAATTAGTGAACATTTGGGATCGAGGAATACAAGATTGCTAGGTTTATGGATTGTCGAACGAAACGTGAAGACGCAAATGTTACGGTTATTACTGATTACTAGTATAGGATTGATGAGAAATGTATGAAGACAGTGAATACAAGTCGAAATTAGAGATACCTTCGGATTTAAAAGATATTCATAACAAAATATTGCTTTTTTACGGACAAAAATGAATTTTATGAAATTATCTGTTTAAGAGTTATTTGGGATGCTTGTCGGATATTTCATGTGACATGTATTTTTAAATAGATGGGTATATGGAAGAAGGTTATTTTTGAAGTACAGAAGAATTGATTAACCCTTTGCATTCGAGGGGTGACTCTCACTCACCACTTGATTTCATACAGTAAAACTATAAAATTTGATATTTAATATTATACCTTGTATAATGCATCAATTTCAGAAATATTGAGATAAAATAGCTTTGTTCCTCAACGTACGTGAGATTTCTCTTCAAGTTGGTTTCATAAAATATTGTTTTTATCCTATTAGAAAATGTTAAAATATTTGTAGTGATAAACTTTCGAATGCAAAGGGTTAAAATAGAAAATGCTGTCTCTGGAAATAATGAAATGTTTTTTTAGATATTCCCATACAAATTTGTTATTTCAATAATTAGTTGAGGCTGATTACCTGATATTATGCGCTACGCATTTTTTACTTATACTTGTAAATAAATATTAATTGCGTGAAAGACAAAGTGTAAGTAAGATATACCTATAAAATGATTCATTTGTATTACCTGGTAAGACATTTCACAAGAGAGAATCGCCCTGGCCTCTGGATTTTGGTGCGTGGCTGCCAAAAGAGTGGGGAAAATGTACGACGTTAATCCTGGTGCCCCATAAAACGGGAAGGGCAAAGTACACAGCTGCTGGAGAACACTTGGTCCAGCCCCAGCTGATTGGAGGGTCAACTAAAACCAATTAACAAACACATCTCAAGCTTTGATTACTTTTTAACATCATTTTAAACTCTCTGAAACTATTTATAGCAAGAATAAATAAAATTGTATTTTATCTCTGTTTCCTGGTCCTCGTCCATCAACCTGTGAATTTACATAAAACATTGATTTATTAAGGAATTCCAGATATAGCGCTTGAAGTATAGGATTTGAAAACATCTATTTTTCGAAAACAATTTTTACTTGAGAATTGTTGTATATGTAACTTTATATTTAACTAATATATATTGCGTTCTTCAGTTTTTTTAGATGTAAGATACATATTTTATATATATTTTTATTTTATTTTAAAAATCGAAAAAAAGCTGAAGAACAATATATATATCATTTCTAACATGTCTCATCAAACATCCAAGCGTTCTCAAAGTTTCGACCGGCCAGGGCAATTTTAAGAGAACAGTTTTATGCCAGAACCTTCACAAAAGCAAGAAATGTTTTCAATTGCAAATAACCCACATGAAGGAGCTGAGAGAAAAGTTAACGATCATCGGTCACGGAAGATAATTAGCTATAAGGAGTCTGTGTATGTTTAATTTCTTTAAATACCGTGGGAAACGATATATCCACAGCCCAGGTGACGGAAACTGTCTAGTCGAAGACAAGAAAACGTCCTAGGACACCTGCGATTCGACAAGTGTTCGCAACCAGGCTCATGCACCTGTGGAACAACCTCTTGCAGGAAGTACCCACATTATATGTTTTTCTTTCCCCACCATCTACTATTTGGTGATCAGGGTAAAATGGAATCTAGATATCGATCGATATTCTCCAGTGAGCGAAAAACGTCAATTGCTTTCAACGTATAATTGTTAGTTTCCAATAAAAAAAAAGTTAGAACACTTCATAGAACTAAGAACGTACCAGTAAAAGAAACTTGACTTTCTTGTTCGTTAATGTTAAAACGACGAATAAAAAAGATTTCCATATTCCTTCCATCAACATTCGCTGTAAAATATTTCATCGGAAACCATTTTCTTTATGTACCATTTTGTTGCGTTATTTTAGGACCGTTTTTACACCGCGTAAAACCGCCCGTTAGATTTACGAGAATCACTGGCACGTTCCCTAGTATTTTTATCGTGCTTGAAACGTTTTTGAGCTGATTAACTATTTCGCTGATGTTTACAGAAAATGTTCCCTGACGAAATCATGTTTCCGTTAGGAAATAAGGCCGGAGACATTTTCAATTAACGAACAGGAACTTAAACACCACTGTAAATAACATTTACCTTCCTCAAATTCAGTTTAAAATTTTCGTCACGAGTCTGACACGATATTGTAGAGGTTAACGTGTTAACACGTTGACTATAAAATATTTAGTAACATAAGCAGCTAGATAATAGCGTAATATGAATACTGTAACAGCAAATCATTAACACATTGACTGCCACGAGAATTTCTGACATTTTGAATAGTAATACTTATTCGTTAATAACAGGAGCAAATGATATTGAAAATAATTATTAATGATTTACTATCACAGTAGTCATATTACGCTATGATCTAACTACTTATGTTACTAAATATTTTTATTTAAAATCAGATTCTTTATTATAATTGTTCTTCATCAATTTCGAAGCTCCGGTCATCGGTGACCACTGTGGCAGTCAACATGTTAATAATTTTTTCTAATACCATTTGTCTTTATTGCGAAACAATAAATATTACTATAATAAAACGAAATTATCGTAGCAGCGAACGTTAAATAAACAATATTACCGAAACAACCGTTTCATCTTCAGGGAACCATCTTCATCCCTAATTATCCCCTCGCTTATTTGACCAATAAAAGTCACAGGACCGGGAAACTGTCTTATATCAGGTGAAATGAGACATTTTTACCTGAGCCCGTGTTATCTCGCTGGAGAGAACAAAAAATAAAGCGAGGGCCCATAAGCAGAAGAATTAGGCTCGCGGTGGACAAGGGTTGTATCAGGGGTCGTTCTGTACCCTGTCTAATCTCGGCTGGCCATTTTTTCTTAATATACCCCGGGGCATAGATCGAATGCCAGAGTAATTCCTGAAGGTTCGATATCTCGAAAAAATGGGACACGATAGACGCGGAGAGGAAGAAAAGACGTGGCGACGTTCCCGAAGGCGCCAGGCCGCCAGATATTTTCACGTGCCAGTCTGCCCTGCGACTATCTCGGTGAACCGGAGAGGAACGCGTTTACCTTGCTATCTCCGCGTCAGCATACTATCGGTCAAAAATACCAAATTGATGCTCGTCGAGTGCCGTTACTCACGCTTTCTTCTTCTAATGTTTGTTTTTAGGCGTTTTTCAGCCGGCGAACGCCGCTTCGTATAAACACCCCGCGCATTTCGAAAAGTGAATTCAATTTAATGCGACGACTGACACGCGAATTTTGTTTGCGTTTGAAGTATCGTTTGTCTTGTTCCACGTAGAAGTGAATTTATTGATAATTGTTCGTATCGAAACTTTTGTATTTTATAGTGTGCCATGTGTTTGGTTATTTTACTAAATTTTGTTCGATGCTGTTCACCTCGATGCGATTAGTTGAAAACGATTAGATAATTATGGCAGTCAACGTGTTAATAATTCTATCTTTTAATGTAAGTTTAGTATATACGAGATTCACAGTAAAAGAGTTATTTATTGTATAAACGAACTTGGCACGAACTTTGTTTTGCTAAAAATACAGTTTTCATAGTGTAATAATTGTAAGAACGAAACAGTTATTACAGAAATGTAAAAAGTTATGGGGATATTGAGAGGAAATGTTCTTCGAGGCAGTGTTTCATCATCGTATCACGTTTATATAAAAAGTTTATATAAAAGGTTTTATATTTAAAATAGAATACTGGGTATTCTTATAAAAACATTGCAAGGAAATAATAACTGCTACAATTATCTGCTCATTGTTTACAACTCGTCTCCTTTCAAATTTGCCCCACAAATGTTTAATTCCCCCGATATTGCTTTCCCAAATAAAATATCGATACTCCTCTACAACAGATTAAGCGCCGAATGAAACGGTACACGCGACCAATGTTTGCTCTCGCGGAAAAGCTCATCTATATGCAAAGTCTGATATCGATGACAGGGGTTCGCCGAATACAATTAAAGAACAACAACTTTTGTTTTAAAAACACAATGGCCCGTCGAAGTTTGTATACCTTTTTTCACGCTCGATCGGAGGCTCCAACGTTTCATTGGTGGACAAGATTATTTTCCACTCAAATGGAAAATTATTAATAAATTTCGGATTTTATATTTATGAAAAATTTGGAAAATACAACATCGAACAACAGTATATACACAATATGAAGAAATAGATAAATTATCCAACGTATAATGTCTTTTATAATATATACCAGGAAAAATAATTTTCTACAATTTTCCTATTTTCCTAATTATGCGTTTGAACAGCTGAATTTACGTAAAAATCCGCAGTCTAATTATTAACCCCTTGCCCTATGATTTCCTTCTGAACGGTGATCGATCTAACTACTTTGTTATTAATAATTTTTTGAAAATAAGAGAAAATTCCAGTCGTATTCTATGTCAACGTGTACTCGAAGGTACAATCATTGATAACAGAGAAATAATATGTAACTTGCATTCAAACAAATAGAATAATGTTTACGTTTGTTAAATTCTATTTGAAATCTTCCCTACGAGTCTGACACGACATTGTAGGGCAAGGGGTTAATGTAGAAGCAATGCAGTGCCGTTGAACTATGTTTTGCCTGTCGTTTTCGAAAGGAAACGCGAATAAAACTGTTCGGGACGGTCTTGAAAGTTACATACGCCTGTTTGTCGTATGCCAGTAAACTCGGCGATAAAGCGGCCGTGGCTACTGAAATAGGTAGGGATAAATTGCACCGACTGCGAGAATATTCGTGAGGAATTTAGTGAGGAACCGATTAGCAGTTCCACTGCCCCGAGTAAAACTTTCAAGCAGTCTGCACATTTAATGAAACGCCCGACGATTGAACCGCGATTTCGGGACAATTCCGTCGGAACTTTGGCGAAGCGGTTCAACGGTCACGTAGCAACCCCCGATTTCGCTTAACCGACCTCTCCCTTGTCAGTAGTTTTCTGTTTATAAATATTGTACGCATTATTCATTTTTATGAATATATACTTAAAGTTTCTCTTGATATTTTAACGTGAGAATTGTTCTACTTTGTACATATTACCGACCCATTAGAAGAAAGCTTCTTTAAGACCAGTAATTTTTAAGAACGTTAATTACTCATTATTTTATATCAATTATTAGAGATAAAGTCATTCCGATGATTGATGTTCCTCTTGAAATCTGAGTCGATACTATTTATATGTATAATCAAGGACAGGATAGTCAAATTTCATAAAAAGCAGCAGACAAGTGTTTTGGTACTAAAATGCGAACACATTCGGAGTGTAGTTAATTCGATCAAACATTTCAGACCCTCCAATGAAACATTTATGTTTTAAAGCTAACGCATTCACGTAAAAATATCTTCGAGAAATCGATTTTATCTTTCGTCATCTACGCCATACTTAACCCTTTCGTTCTCAAATTGTTTGAACATTCCAAACAACGTATCTTTTCATCTTTGTAAGGTGGTATATATGTACAATGAAATAAATTCGTCACAGCTTCGATTACTACGTCCCACTACAATAACTAAAATAAAATATTATTCCACTAATTTTTATCTCAATCTTTCGATCGTTATCAATAACAAATTCGATTAACTAAAAAATTCAATATTCCCGTGTCCTCCACTACTATCGAAGTTTCAAGTGAACAGTAAATCCTGTGTTACACCATATAAATAAGGTAAAAGGAAACTTCTACATCATTTTTAAATATAAACAAAACATGAAACGGTATTTAACACTAGAACTACCGTACCAGTCAAAATGACTAGTTTTCAGTTTATGTATTTCGCAATTATTGATATCTTTGAAGCATTGTATATTCAAAATGATTTTGAAGATAGTTCCACTTGAATACTACAACGAATACCCAAAGAAATTGAAAATAATCTATTTTTACAATTTTTATATAGATTATATATCAATCGTATCAAATGCTCGCTTAGTGTTAATTTCACTGGAACTCTATTTTACAATAGAAGAATAATTTATAACAACAAAAATATCTACTAGAATAGTAACTCACACTGTACAAATAAGAAAAACCGAACCATTTACGCACCCCTGATCGCAAATAAACACAAAATGGTATTTAACCCTTAACGCTCATACGTCACGCTGGGGATGACATATATTCGTTTTAAAACATCAGAAATTGCTTGAAAAGGTACCACACTTTAAGAGATGATAAAAATTCAATATTGTTACAACAATACTAAACAAAATAAATATAAAACCTTGAATTCTACCGCTGTGAATTACTTTAATCCACTTCCCTGAGAATAACTACTAATTTACACCCGACAACATTGAAAATAAATCGAGTGCAAAGAGTTAATCTAACTGCTACTCTATTTTATAATGTTATATACGTAGCCCTTTGTTTACGTTGAGAACGGAAGGGTTAAAGAGCCATCATACACGCCAAACAAGCCGTCCGTCAGTGGTCGCGCGGCGGACGGTCGATCCACCCGGTAGATTCGCGGCGGCAACGCGCGCGGGCGAAGAAGGAAGAAGAAACTGTTAGACACAACACACTCAGCGGACCTCCCATCAATATACGGCCGAATGCAGTTAAGATATATTTACTCGGTTCCATTCCATACGTCAGACCGCGTGCACGCGCGCGATGCTCCGTCGGGAAGGGTGCATCAATCCAGCGAGCCTCTCGCATCGGGGGAATATGTACCGCTGAGTGCACCGGCGACGTCGCGCATTCGTCTTTCGTCGCCTTTTTTAAGGAGGCCCGCTGCTGCTGTCCCGAAAGTGCATCCGATACAGGCCGGGGAAACTGGAGGAAAAACGCTTTTAACCTTTAACTGCCGGCCGCTGATTCAACCGGTGAATTGTGAGGGAGCAAGGGGGCAGAGGGACAAGGGAGTGATGCTTGTTGCACGATTTATGCGTGTAACCGGACGGTGTTTTTAGTGGCAGGGAGGAAGGGAGCAGAAGGAAGGATCCAGGAACTGATTTCGGGAACCGACTTAAGCCCGTTACACACGTTCGAACGTGTTGCGATGCAGCGATCGGCTACTGCTAGATCGTTTGATGGCTAACCTGAGGAATTCGGTTGATTAATCAGTTTTCATTATTGTCTTATCTAATGCTAAAACTACCGAGCAGTTGAATTAACTTTTTGAAAATCTCGTAGAAACTCCTACAGTGCATCTATTGAAAGTTTAATTGATTTCAGTTTATGTATTGCTAAATTAGTTTCTTGAATAATTTCTTAGAGGAACATCTGTTGTCTTTTTAATAATTAAAGAAAGAGAAAATGAGAAATGGGTCGTTTTGACCCATCTGGTAGTTTTAGCGTTAATTTTCTGTTGGTTTTATTTCTTGATTCTTGATATTTGAAATTAGTAGTTTACTGTTCGTCGATGTGGTTACATGTAAGTAATGAAAATGATAAGATTGTGAACTAGGAAGGCATGTTTTTTCGCTGTGGCGTCCTGTTAGACATCAGGTCATCTCCTAACTATATCAAGAAAAGTTTTGCTATGAGTCTGTGATCTTGATATAGTTGAATTTACTTGAGGATGGAATTATAGAAATTTTAGGTGAGGGTTGACCTTCTGGGGATGAAAATTTTGGGAAGCGTTAAGAACCTTTTGTGTAGGATACTGAGTTAGATTAGCCGAAGAGTTGAACTTTGAAATATTAGAGAAAGGTAGAGAAAGGTAGATGAAAGGTAGATGTGGAATGCTTAAATACTAGCAAATTAGAAAACTAGATATGGAATTTTTTAATGTCAGGAAAATAAAGAAACTAGGTTTGGAATTATTAAACACTAGAAAATAAAAAAATTAGGTTTGGAACTTTTACATACTAGAAAATAAGAAATCTATATGTGAAGCCTTTGAATACTATAAAATTAGAAAACTAAATATGCAACTCTGAAATACTAGAAAATAAGGAAACCAAATGTACATATTCTATTCTATATGTGTAATATTATATCACCCTACGTGTAGAATCTACTGTCAATTACACGGCACATTCATAACCAATGTTTCCACTATTTTGTCCAACCCCTGCAGTTCAGCATCCCAAATCAGCATCAGAGGTAACTGATGACACACGACAAACTGAGAAGAATCGGTAGCGTGGAGGTAAATTGACGCTGATGGAGGCTTCATGAAATCTAGGAATCGATGATGCATCGCAACATGTTTCAATGTGTGTAGAGGGCTTTACGGGATTATGCTGATGGATCTCGGAGGTTATCTGAAATGCTGTTTCTTCGGCCGGGGCGATTCATTCGTTGTTTAGCGTTTCGGTGAGATACGTGACTGCTCTCGAAGCACCGATATCGGATTTCTTTGTTGTGCGCAATATTTAAGGCGCTGGTCGGCTGTATGCAAAATACGTCGCTGTTTGGGCCAGCTTGAAATGATGTCTCAATCTTTTTTGTTCGATAGGAGCTTTAATAGTGGGACGGTATCTTGCATTTGCAATGAATGTGTGTGTACGAATTTTGGAGTTTCGCACACACACACATATATATAACACATAAAATGCTTAAAATTAAGTATTTAACAACCTAAAAATATACAACCAAAAAGTAAATGGTTATTTTCTTGGCAGATAGAAAAATTGTTAATAAAAGACTTTAATTGTATTTAAAAATATTATAAAATTTGTTTAATGTATGAATTATCGATTTTATAAAAAAGGTAAACAAAAGTAGTAAAAGTTTCTTTATAGGATCGAATATATCTTTGATCTTAAGGTGGGGACCAAGATGATTCATAAGAATTAAATTGATTCAAGAAAGTTACATTGATTGCTGAAAGTGTCAGTGAATTATTTTTAGAGAATATAAACTCTTTTACAGAACCATATAAATATTTCTTCACAAGAACGAAGACGAGACATGATTAATACAAACACCTAAAACCCGAGGGAAATTTCAAATTTTCTATCTACATAAAAATAAAAATGCTACAATTTATTTTGACAGTGCTGTTAGAAAATCATCTAATGCCATTACATAAATATTATACGGTACTAAATATTCAAAATTTAAAAGCAACACAACTAACAATTTGGCCATGATCCATACCTTTGCGCGGCACTATTACGCTTGATACCACGGAATATTAAATTTAGAATAAAATTATGATGACTTTGATTTAAACATCAAATGAAAATATTTCGTGCATTTGTGTAAAGCATAATCCAACACCGCAAATAAACAACAACAAACACGGCAAACATAACGAGTGCACGCACCATATGGCGTTTATCCTCTAGCAAAGACATCTAAAGGTTACGCTTACCTGATTTTCCGGGTTGTTAACTGCAAAATAGCCCAGAACCTGGAACAGTTCTGACAGGATGTAAGTACCACTAGTGTTCTGCGCACATCCAATTTCCGGCTTGTGCGATATTGGATCTCGTGATAATCTGGTTATCACATGACTAGCTATCAGTCGCCATTGTAAGCTGGTGCCCTCGGCTCCCAACAGATTCTGAAGTGAGAATATTTTGATTTTGAGATATGAAATGACCTGAAGTAATAATTTCAAGTAAGTACAAATTAATAATTGTAATCTCCTAATATTTCATTCGTTATATTATAATATTAATAATAATGTTATTATTCATATATATTTTTCTAATATTCATATGCATTTCCCCTTGGAAAATCTACATTCTTTTTTGATCAAATGATCTGAAACTTTCGAATAGTAGAGGGAGGTTACATCTTTCTTTTGGGCAAAAAAGTGGCAGCAATCTTTGCAGTAGCGGTGAATATTATACATATTTAAAATCGTTAGTTCTGTTTGTAATACTATAATATAATGAAAGACAGATTTCTGTGCAGACTGACGAACGGCTTAGTTCCAGTCAGAACGTCGCCAATAAGTCAAAGAGAATAGATAATGGTTGGTTTCGGAGCAAACGGCGACTGCTGTGTTCACTAGAATAACCGGGGAACAATCCCATGAGACTCAGTATGCTTTCCTATGGGACACAGGATAGCCCTTATAGTTTTTATAGATGGGGGCGCGAGGTTTCGATTCAATTCGTGGTTTGATCATTGCAGACTTCACGGGAGGGCTTTCTATCCTGACAGGCTGGCCCCCCAGGACACATGATGTCTCCATTGCACTTTCCACGGTACTCGATCTAACGAAGAGCACTGTTCGCGGTTGCTTTGACCACAATTTTTTTCAATCGAGCTAGCTGCTGTAGGAGGAAAACTTTGCAAACCCTCGAGAGCATAGTCTGATATATTGTTTCTTAACAATGTAAGAATAAAAGTCATTTTTGACAGTGATTGTCTACTTAATGTTTAAGTTCTACGTTTTGTTTATTCAATATTTTTGGCGAAATAAAGTTATTCATTTTACAACAAATGTAACTAAAACATTACCATTGCATATTCATCGAAAACGACAAATCATAAATAAATAATAATCGAAATTTATAAATAGAAAAGTAATACTTGCAGGTAACACTAAATGTGTGATCAAAATTAAACTTCTTTGTTTGAAACATATAGCCACTACTGTATTCTCTAGCTTAATTACTTTTAAATTATACAAATTTAAATAATATTAAGGAAATAATAAGAATTACTATTTTTAACAATTAGAAGCTCACCTGCAATCTTTGAAGATTCAATTCAGCGATCGCCTTCAGCAGCCTCAGGCAACGAACAACTAAAACTCTCGTTGATTGGGTCATCGTGATCTGATTAGGAGTTGGCGATGATCCTTTCTGATTCTGTGGGACCAGTGCGACGGCTGCATAGAGTGCACCGATCGCACCTGCAGCTCCGGTAGAGGACAAAGTAGAAAGCAGATGGGATTCGACGCTCGTCTGTTCTACATTGTTGTTATTGTTATTGTTCTCAGTAATGCTACTGATCTCTTGATCCGTTGTCTTCTTCAGATGACAACAGACGCGGCAGAGAAGATCGTAGGCGGATATCAACAACGGTGAATCGTGATCCTGATCCACAAAGAAATCGGTCTCAACCAGGGCGCGACTGTGCCGAGACACACGATCCACTAAGCCACCTGCTACCAGATATCTACAATAGAAAAAATAGAGATTTGTTACTGAAGTTAAAACAAGACATGAAAAGAATGTCAGTTATCGTGTCATTTAAGATTAAAATTCGTAAATGCTTCTGTTATCTGCTATTTAATGAAACAATTCGTTCATTTATTCACACTATTGAATCCCATATTCTAAAACTCATTGTATTTACCAGAAAGTCCTTCTGCATCCAACAAAACTTAAACCAGTTTTCCTATATCAAATCAATAACTTCGATCAATACTAACATTACAGAACAACGAAATCTTACGAATAAACAACAGTTACCAGCAAACAGAATGAACTTCTGCTCAAACTCTACTTTCTCCACAAACAAACAATAAAACCCTATCAAACGCCTCCAAACCAACAGCAACCCCTCAGCTCCTCAGTCTCTCATCAAATTCCCTCGCAACAAAGATCTCACCTCCACTAGGCAACACCATAGTCGATTTCTCAATTCCAAGCATCCCTCGATCCTACAGACTCGCGTCCGGAGAAATCCACTGGTGTCTGGTCCGCGGCAACGAAGTGTGCATATGGGTACCGATAGATCCGGCGTCGTGAAACGTCAGGGGGATGGAACGGGGCAACGGCGGGGCGAGGAGAAGAAGGAAGAGAGAGGAAAAACAATGTATTGCTTGCAGGACAGCATGTGCGACGGCGTAACACGAGAGGATTATAACATCAGTGGGTAATTCTCCGGCGGCGCGGGGCCATGGCGAAGAGGGTAGGTACAAGCGTCGGCGCATGCGATGCTCATTCTATCGGGTTGTTGTATATGTTTTTCTTCTCTCCTGCCCTACCCGGGCTTTCCTTTCACTCGCGTCACCCCCTGTCGAGGGGTGCGCGGCTGTCAGTGCGTATTATCGCCGCCCCTTCCCGCCGAAACGCTGACATGGCCGGGCCCACGCTCGGCTACCGCCGATGAGTATTGGAATATGGAGTAGCACGGTGGAGGGCCAACTGTCTCCTCTAATCATAACTAGCTGGAAGCTAATCCAACACCACTGAACCCGACACGCACGCACGCTCGCTACCGATCGCGGCCTAGGGGAGAAGAGGAAGGGGTACTTTGGAGAGCGTAACCCTTACCGGACAGGATAATAGGACGTTCTCGGGGCACCGCCGCGTCGCTCCCCTCAGATTGATACGTTGCGAAACGGGGCAAAGCTATTAATTACGAGCGATTGAAAGAGCGACCGGTTAAAACGACGGTCAATGAGGCGGACGAGGCGACGGTGTGACTTTGCGCCGGTGAGGACGGTTTCATGGAATCTTCGTTTGGGGTTGTTGCTTTTTTCGGGTGATTCGGGGTTTTTAGGGTTATAGGGGTTTGATATTAAAATGGCAGACAATGTTGCTTTGTGAAATCTTGTTGCAGTTGTTTGACATTAGGTTTGCGGATGTTTATTGCACGGTTTATTTTACGGTTTTTACTGCTCCTAGAAGAGTTCATGTTCGTTTTTTCGAATTTTGGAAGTTGGAGGTTTAAAAATAGATAATTGAAGTATATATTAAGTAAGTAAATATACTAAATAGTGTTTATAATATTCGATACGCGTCAAACTGACACGCTCCGTAAGCCTAGTATTAAAAAAGAGGATCTTAATGATGCAGACTTGATATATTCGCGCTGATTCGCTCAATTCCCTTACGTAAAAGAAGATTAATGCATCTTCTTAATTAATTGATATTTCTCAAGTTGCAAAGTATTCTCGACTATTCTAACTCACAAGTTATTTGTTATTAGACCTCTGAAAAGGAATTAACAGCGTACCTACATAGAGAATGTATACGACGTATACAATTTGCCCGAGAATCCGAAATAAATGTTAAGACTGTCTAAGTTATTGGTCGCGGGAAATTTCATTTGTGTTACAATTTTGAGCAATTCGCGTAGAAAGTAGTCATAACGCGGGAGCTTAGCGAGAACGGGAAGCTGCAAGGAATACTGATTCGTCGCGGTGGCGTTGCATAATTCATCGATACGTATACAGCGGCAAAGACGCTTAAGCTCTGTCACTCCGATGATGGAGGCGGCGAGCACAATGGGCGAACACGAACAGACGATAATACCGATACTTTCGTTACTATTCCGAGGGATTCGGTAAATACGCTAATAAAATGCAACGGGATGCGCGGTCGGATTAGAATTGCTCGAGTCGTTGGTACACTTCTCAGCCTATAATAACATGAATGATCGCCGAACAGGGGAACCGTGTCCTTTCTCGATGTAATAATTCTGGTCGGGAGAGTTGATCCGCCTACGATTCGATACGCCTAGGATCCGAACAGTCAATAGAGTTGGCGAGTGGATACGATCCCTTAATCCAAGCGTTCCGTTGCTTAGTTTTTCAAGGGTTCCCTAATGATCGAGCAATATAGCAGAATCTCAAAAATAGGTGAACTTTGATTAATACACTGTGAACCAAAGATTTCTCCGCAGCTAATATTCTCACGTTCGAATACCTATATTTCGAAGAATCAGAATTAATATAAGTATAATTTTTTATATAAGTATAATTTGTTGATACAAAATGATTCAGAGATTTGATTTGAAACATTTCTCAGTTACATGAGAAATCATAGAGATTGCTGATTATTAAAACATATAGGAACTAGTAATGGTTTTCTTATACCACTTTCAAATTTAAAGTATTCTGAACGAAATCAGAACACTAAGTCGAGAAGGATTAAACCGATTCAACGGGTCTAAAGAAATGAAGATATAATTGATCCAAAAGGCCTGAAAGACATAAAATTAAGCAATTCGAGAGATCATCGGCGACATTAAATTGACTTTATTCAATGTTCTTGTAGAAACTCTAAGAGTCCGTCCACTGAGATTTCCAATCATTCTCAATTCAGCTTGCCCATCCAATCAATTTCAGTAACCAGTTAACTGCGTTTGGCGAGTACACTCTTCGTTTTATCATTTTACTGCAAGCGAAACGAGAGATTTTCCTAATTAAATTCCACAGTTAACAGGTTAATAACTTCTTAAGCAAGCATTTGCCAGCTCTTCAATAATTCCAAAAAAGGAAATCAGGAATCAGTAATTTTGACCCATCTGGTAGTTCCACCGATAAATACTAACAATTGCCCGCCAAACATGCAAACATATCAAACGTATCGCAGAACGCAATCCGCCATATGCATGATGTAATTGTGTGTATCAGCGGGTGACGGCCACGCAGCAATTCGGAGGAACCAGGGAAAGATCCGATCGTCCGATCTTCACGCACGTCTGGCCAAGATAACGGGGATCCGCCTATGCATCATCGCCCTCTCCCTTCCCCCCTAAGTAAGATTCCGATCTATCATTGAATGTTTGCGGGGGGTTCGAGCAAATACATTGAATTTATTTATTATTCTCCCCGGCGAAGGCCGCAGCAGCCCGAGCAATCGCTACCCCAGTGGTCCGCCATTAGCTAACCATATGATTATTTCATAGCTAGAGGACAGGGGTGCATATCTTTAGGGCTGGTGCGCCGTTGCAGTAGCTCGCCGCGGATTTCGACGGTGCAGCGCGAGCGCATGAACTTTCACGGACCTCGAGGAGGGTAATCGGACAAATTAATTTACATATTCATAGAGAAGTCGTGCGAGCAGCAATTTCACCAATAACTGCGACAATCGCCGGGGTACGTATTAGTCGGATGAGTTTTCGTTGCAGACAAATAATGCGACACAGCCACATTTCGGACTCGGATTGCTGCTTTGTGTGCACGGGAGCGTGGGGATTGTTGTAAGGGCGATGCCGCAAATGGACCGTTCTTTGTACATGAGAATGTTCTTGCTTGAGAATTTTTAGCTGCGGCAATGTTTAATGTGAAGAATTTATGTTTAATTTTTAAGTTTTATTAGTACTGGAGAATAAGCTGTTGGGAACTTTTTTAAAGTGGGCAATAGGTTAATGAGATTTTGCTGATTTGTTTATTAATCTTTGAATAATCTATGGGGATCATTTGATGTGTAATTAATGTAAAAGTTATAACGGTTCTATTAGGATCATCTGTGAATGTATGAATAAATAATATGCGTATATATTATTTCAAAATTACTCAAAAATATAGAGCTTGAATTTGATATACTCATTGTTAGTATAGTATTATTGTTCAATCAGGAGATTTTTAAGTATTATTGTCCAAGCAGTAGATTTTTAAGGCTAACTACTTTAACACTAAAACTACCAGGTCAATCATCTTTATTAAAAATATAACTGTTTCTCTGAGAAATTATTAAAGAATTTGATTTACACAAACTGAATTGTAATATAATTCTCAATAGATATATTCTTAGAGTTTCTATAGAGAAATTTCAGAAAGTCAATTTAATTGCTCGATAGTTTTAGTATCAAAGCTGAAAAGAAGTGCAAATTATTATTCAATTGTTCAAATTATTTGATTTCGTTAATCCTGGTATTGTGCAATATTGCCGTATTAGGATCGTAATATATTAATACTAATTTACAAGCTTTCAATGAAACAATTCCACAGTAATGTTCCACGGAACGTTTATTTGACTTGCCAAAGAATTTGCGGTTCAATATCAAGGATCCTCTCGGGCCGGGATCCTTCTCGAGCGGCGGCAAATGTGTCTGGCAGAAGTATCATCCACCGCGTTCACAATGGACGATGTTTGCGCAACGGAATGGCGAAAGTGTGAAAACGACAGCGGAGTATCAACGAGTTGGGGACAGGAAGAGACACACCAAAGAATGGCCACTTAGCCGCGAGTTACGTTCGCAATTGTGCGCGAAAGCAAATGCGCGTGTCGTGACGAGTTGTTGTCCACCAATTTTATGCGGGAACTGATTTCTCCTGTTGGTTAGTTTTCAAACGTAGGCTAGGATTAAGAGACACTCGTCTGCATTGCGGTTCAAACGTTCCGGGTCGCTCTACGAATCAAAGAAAATGGAAATGGCGCAATGATGAAAATATAGGAAATGTAGATTGTTAAGCTGGCTTTAGATACTAACAATAGTTG